TACCCCCAGGACAATTACTCCCCGGACAATTTTTGTTTTCAAATTATGATTTATATTATTATTATTAATATTAACAGACAATACGAGACGAGATAGAATGCAATTACTTATTAATTTATAATTATTGTAATGATCATCAGATACACTTTTAAATACAGACAGCCAAAAAACACAAATTGTTGATGATAAAGAATTAAACATTATGCAAAAGACCATAAACATATAATTAAGTAAATTGGTTCTCAAGCTTTCTAGCGCAAATTGGCATGTAAATTTAGAACAATCAATGATGATTGATGATGAGAAAGCAATTCGCATGCATTTAATCAATAGTGTAATTTAAATTTAAAAAAAAAATAGAATTTTATTTCAAGGTTTCTTTGTGTATTAATATCATATAAAAAGTTTATTGGCATGGACTTTAAAGTTGTAAAAATTTTAATCGTTATTTTATTCTGTTACTATGGAAATTATTGAAAATAATAGAGGAGAAGTTGTGTTTGGAAGGGTATATGTATACGAAAAAATTGAGTAGAGGAGCAACGATTCGTTGGCAATGCTCTAGAAAAACATTTTTCAACTGTTTAGGAGCAATTTCAACAAACATTGAGGTAAATAATCAATATATCTTTTTATTTGTTAATCTGATATATAAATATAAATTCATTTCAATATATATATATTGTCTTTACTAAATTATATAATTAGATTACTGAAATAAAGTGTCAGAAAGAACACAACCATGTTTCAGAACCCGAAGAAATTGCAAAAGCGAAGGTTTTGAATGAAATGAAAAAGACTGCTATACTATCTTCTACGGCCAAACCGAGCCAAATATATGCAGATGCTTTATCGGGGTTAGATGAAGAAGACAGAGCAAATGTAGGCCATAAAGATCACGTGACAAAAACAATTAGAAACCAACGCCGCAAAAATATTCCAATTGAACCATCCAATACAGAATTCGAAATACAAAAAGCTTGGCAGATGAGAGAAGGCAACGAAAATGTCATCATCTACGACAGTGGAGCCAATCCATTCAACCGGATAATTGTTTTTTCAACATTCGTGCAATTACAACAAATGGGAAGAAGTACTAGGTAGTTACATTTTATTTATTTAGGAAGAATGCGGCTTATTAAATTAATTAGTTACTTCGAAATTGAAGTTCCATCTGTAATTAAACCACTTCGCTTATTTTTGATATATATTAACTATTATATATTTGCAGATGGTTTATGGATGGTAATTTTAGCTTGTCTCCAAATATTTTTCACCAACTGTACTTTGTTAGAGTTGTCTATCTTAACCATTATGTAACATGCGCCTATGCCCTAATGACATCAAGAAATCAGGCGTCATATGAAGAAGTTTTTAGGGCAATTAAAGATAAGGCGCAAGAACACAACATAATTTTGGCTCCAACCACTGTTATGTTAGACTTCAAAATTGCCCCCAGACGTGCCTTACATGATATCTTCGGTGCAAACGTAGAAGTTGTAGGATGTTTTTTCCATTTGACACAGTCAACATGGAGAAAGGTATAGTTGCATGCTTTGTTAACTATTTTTAATCAATTGTCATTTTGCCTGTTTGAATGAAATTTTGCTATGGATTTTTTATTTTTTTATTTATTTGTTATCTCAAATTCAGATAGCAGAGCTAGGTCTAACAACCATTTACAAAGAGAGGGATGATGTTAGACATTTTGTTGGCATGCTAGATGGCATTGCTTTCTTGCCAATAAACCGTTTGTATGATGCCCTCCAACACCTAGAAAGTTTTCATTTATTTCGATAAAACATATGGTAGAGGGCCCTTCAGGAACAACAACAACAATAATAATATCAACCAAATTAGGTTGATCCGAATGCCTGCTCTATTTCCGCCCGAAACATGGAACGTTTTTACGATAACATTAAATGGTCATGAAAGAACTAATAACGTTTGTGAAGGTTGGAATAAGTTTCCACAATTTAATTGGCCATTTTAATCGATCGTTATGGACTTTAATCAGTGCCATCAAAAAAGATCAAACATCTATTGGTCAAATTGACCGAGGAATTCAAATAAATAAGCCGAAAAAACGACAGTCAAAATATTTCCAAGAAAGAATGGAACGATTGTGCAAAGACGTTAGAGATGGCCGAAGATCTACATTGGAGGCTTTAAGAGCGATAGGACACTGTATTGTGTTAAATAGGAAAAATTTACCAATGATTTAAGTGTATTTTATGCGATAGACATTTATAGAGATATTTTTTATTTGTCATTGACCTCTAAACATAATTTTTAAAATGTTTTTGAAGGTAATTTCGTTGAATAAATTTTTTTTAAGACTTTTTTTTTGAAGACTTTTTTTCTTGAAGACTTTTTTTCTTGAAGACATTTTTTCTTGAAGACGTTTTTTCTTGAAGACATTTTTTCTTGAAGACTTTTTTCCGAAGATATTTTTTCTGAAGACTTTTTTTCCTGAAGACTTTTTTTCAGGGATTCTATATTTTATATTATTATCTATGTATTTCTATTCTGTGCTTGTAAATTATGTTTCATTACTTTGGTATTATCTTATATATAAATGCAAATAGCACGTGGTTATATGTTATTATTGTTGGCTTTGTAAACGATCCTGGAATTTAATTTTTCTACTTAGATTAATAAATCAGGTTATTCGAAAGCAAACTTATATACATAATTAAAATTATTCATAGATAGAGATTTATAAATAACGAATACTTATTGGAATATTTAGTAAAATAAATAATAAATTGTAATAAATAAATAAAACTATAGTATAATATATTACGTAAAGTTATTGATAATTTTAATCAGGTATTACTTAAACTCAAAAGGTTCTGAAGATGGCGCCCACGCCGAAACAACGCTCTAAGCCTTATTATGACACATTTACTGAATAAATATGAATTGAACCAATTACGAGTTGTTGAATTATATTATAAAAAAGTTGATTAACCAAAATGGTATAAGAAAGTTCAACTGAGATGTACAACTACGTAAAACTAAAAAACGGCTGAACCAATTTTTGTTATTTTATATTTGTTTTTAATGCATTATAATAGTTATTAATAGTACATAGTGAACAAATTTAAACTAATTCGTTTACGTTTTCATGATGATGGTAATAATAGTAATAACGTATAGCGCAGTTTTATAAGTGGTATGTTATGTTTATTCGGTGAGAATTTCCGATCTACTTCTGCCGTACGATTGGTCGGAAACTCCTACCTTTTATATACTCACGTACTGTGGATTTAAGCCAAGTCGACTCACTAATGTCTATTCATAACCGTGTTCGGAACGCCTATAAAAAATTGATACTCAAATTATAATATATACTGTTAAAACTTTAACAAGAGTAAAAAAATTGCTTCATAGTAATTAAATTACAAAACGGAGCGACCAATAACAATTCAAAAAATGAATACTCATAATACTACTAACTGATTTAACTGTCATAATGATTGTCATCATCATCATTGAAGCATTAAAATAGAACTCTAAGCAGAGAGGATTTTTTTAAACCGCAACCGCCGCATCCGCAGAATTAACGTCCGCAACAGCCCGCATCCGCACTGCTCATTATCCGCATTCGCACCGCACCTGCGAAAAGGCAACCTAAATCGGTCGTCTTAATCTCATGTTTAAAATTAGGTGATAGCAATATTAGAGAGCAACTTATTTATAATATAATAATTTATATTCAAAAAAATTATAAGAAAAGAGTTTAATAAATTTCTAATTTAATAATTGAAATAACACCGGCCAGAAAAACGAGCACAAAATGAAGGACGATGAACACAAACAAGCCATTTATTTATTTAATATTTATGATGATGTTATGTTATATGTTGACCGTACCAATATATATATATATATATATATATATATATATATATTATACAAATATACAAATTCATTGTATATTTGTATATTCGTTTAATGTACATTGTGGGTAAACTGTTGACTTTTGACAATCATTTCTTTATTTTATTGTTACTGGATATTGAGAGTGCCTGTAAGATTTCATTTAATAGGCGCTATGCAAATGCATTTAATAATAATAAAAATAATATATATATATATATATAGTTTTCAAAAAAATCAATTATTATGTTTAGACATTAATTTTTCAAGTTTTCTAATTAAAATTTTATTATAATTATTTAATTTATTAAGTAAAAACCTAAAATTATTATTGTTCATGTTTATTAATATAAATAATTGCAAAAAGCTTTTTCGATATAAAATATATCATCGTCAGTGCAAAATATTTTTAAATAATAACGAAAATTACCGTTTATAAACAAATGACGTCATACAATATAACTTAATTTTAAGCTCGAAACATTTTTGAAAATATTATTATTAATTATTATATACTATATATTTAACATATTGATAAAATTAACTTTACATTTTTACAATTTATTTTCACAATACATATATATATATATATATATATATATATATATAAGATAGCTAAAATAATATTTTAAAAAAATGGCACCATTATACGGGACATAATATATGATATATTTTATGACCGTCTATTATCATTATCACCAACGATACTATATATCTTTCAATATTTTCAATATTTTATCACTAAATATTATTTTAGCTATCTTATTTATTAAATTATATATTTAATGTTATAGGATATATATATATATATATATATATATATATATATATATATATATATATATATAATTTGGTACGAGGTTTTTAGAAAGATCATGTTCGTAAAGAGTAATACCCCAATTGTAGTTATTTGCTTTTA